TTCCTAACAGTAACAATAAGAAGAATGGTGCCCTGAGAAAATGTCGCGTGAGTGCTAAGCACAAGGTTAGAAAAGAAACAAGTATCATGTGTGCAGGCTGTGGTGTGGCTCTCTGCAAACTTTCATGTTACAATGTTTATCACACGAAGAAAAACTAATAAAGAGGTGTGGAAAAGCATTTATTGCATAAAATATTGTATTTTAATTAGTTCCTAAAAATTTCGTTTTTAAAAACCAATATTTGTTGAAGTTGTTTAGGAAAAAGTAACTACATGCATTTTAGCGGCATAAGGTTTAAAGGGCCTGCCAGGACAGGGGTGGGATTTAAATACCCTTCGCGCCAGTCAAAGAGTTAATATATTATTTTGAATTAAAGATGGCTTCTAAAAATTTTGGAAATGGCTGATAAAATGGATATCGGTCTATAGTTTTTAATATCCACCTCAGTGCCTAAGTTTTCTAAAGCTGCAGACCTATTTGAGATATCAACACAATACTGCTTCTTTTCTCTACATCATTTCATTTCTTGAGATTGAACCTCTCCATATGAATGCACTGTGTTGTTTGTTTACTCACTGCCTCTCTCTCCCTAACGTTTGCTACCACCAGATAGTGGTCAGTATCACAATCTGCTGTCCTGAACAATCAGACATCAGGTATACTTGAATGCTGTTTCCTCTCTATCAAAATATGGTCAATGTGGTTGTGTGTCTTTCCATCAGCAGATGTCCAAGTAAATGTATGAATGTTATGATGTCAGAACATCATACTTCTGACAGTAAGATTTTTGGATGTGGCAAAATTTACTGCTCTAATTCCATCATCATTACTAATTTTGTGCATACTCTTATTCCCAATTGTTGGTTTGGAAACATTTTTCATACTTGCTCTGGCATTCAAATCTCCTAACAAGATTTTCATATGGTATTTAGGGAATTTATCAAATACACGTTCTAGTTCTTTGTAGAAGCTGTCCTTCACATCATCAGTTTTATCCTCTGTTGGGGCATGATCATTCAGAACAATGATAACACACCTGCAGCCTCTTAGTATTATGTATGACATCCTATCACTAGCAAACTCTACCATCTTAACTGCTGATATAATTCTCTTATGTAGGAAAACACCTGTGCCTAATTCATGATTGCCAATTCCCTTTCCATAGAAAAATATATTTGCCTACTGGTTTGGTGCCATCTCTGTCCCATCTGACTGTTGGATAGTTAAATAACTTCAATATTCCTCAATAAGGACAGTTTCACAAATTGAAATCCACAGGTAGGCCTCAGAATGGCATAGGCAAAATTTGCAATTGAATCCTGGTTTTTAATGCAACTGAAGTGAAGACATTTTCTGTAACATAGAAATTGGAATGAAAAAAGTACATATTTCCATAATTCAGCACTGAAGAAACATATTTTGCAGAAAATCTTCTTTCAGAACAAAAACTACAATCTGCAGCTGTTGTCAGCAGTGCTTCTTATCATACCAGTCTTGATCAGATGGCATAATTAGCAACTATGTTGTCGCATCCCAGCTTGTGGAAAACGGATTGATGGGCCGAGCGGGAGCCATGTGTTCCGTTGACTTCGATGGTTGGAGGACGACTAGCAGGAGACTTAGCTTAAAACAAACTGTTTATTACACAAATACATATGTATAAACTGAGAAACAGGTAAGTGCCTTAGGCCAATGGCGGCGGCCAAGTCTTTTAAACAACACAGTGTCCTTGACTCTTAGTGACTGGTCAGAAGACTCTCGTCAGCTAATTTCCTTGGGTTTATATATGTTTTCTTAGGGGTGGTTTCTCTAGGATGGTGATGGTCTGAGGGCAACCGAAGCGGGACATCCAGCCGATCAGTAGGGCTCATGCCACTGTGTTGGCTGTGATGTCCGGGATGGGGATGGCTTCTGGCCAACGGGTGAAATGGTCAACTGTGGTGAGGCAGTATGTGTAGCCTCCTGATGTCGGAAGGGGTCAAACAAGGTCTATCTGGACGTGAAGAAATCTGGCTGCCGGCGGTGTAAAGTCGCCCAATGGAGTCACTGTGTGGCGGGAAACTTTGGAGCGCTGGCAGGATTGACAAGCACGTGCCCAGGTGCGGCAATCCTTCTGCACACCTGGCCACACGAAATGCTATGCGACCAGTTTTGCCATTGCTTTGGTCCCTGGGTGCGACAGATCATGGACAGACTGGAACACTTTGAACCATAGAGGAGCTGGGATGTACGGCCGAGGTTTCCCAGCAGAGGTATCGCAGTAGATGGACACTGTGGTACCGGGGATTGGTAGCTTTTTGAGCCGCAAAGCGGTGTTTGACTGCTGAAGTGATCGGAGCTCGTTGCTGTCCTGTGATGTGGCCAATGCGTCGTAGGATGGGGCGCAGTGACGGACTTGACGTGGGAGAGCACGTCGGCAACGTTGTCCTGTGCCGAGATGTGTCGGATATCGGTTGTGAATTGTGCTATGAAATCCAGGTGGTTGAATTGCCTTGGTGAGCATTTGTCCCTTTTCTGCTGGAAAGCATAGGTGATAGGTTTGTGGTCTGTGAAGATGCTGAAGTGGCACACCTCCAGCATGTGGCGAAAGTGCTTTACGGCCTCATAGATGGCTAGCAGCTCGTGGTCATACACATTGTATTTTTGCTGGGCCGGGTCGAGTTTCCATGAGAAGAATGCCAGGGGCTGCCAGGCGTTCTTGACGCGTTGCTGTAGCATGGCACCCATGGCGGATGTGGAGGCATCTGTGACGAGTACAAGTGGCACGGATGGATCGGGGTGAGCCAGTAGTGTGGCGCGTGACAAACTCGCCTTGCGCTCTTCGAAGGCCCTGTGGAGCTCTGGTGTCCAAGTGATGGGGTGGGAGCTCTTGACATTGGGTCCAGAGAGGACGTCGTGCAGTGGTGCCTGGTGTGCTGCCGCATGGGGCAGAAATCGCCTGTAGTAGTTGAGCATGCCCAGGAAACGGCGGAGCTGACTGGCGGTTTTGGGAGGTTGGCATTCCTGGAGGTGAGTCACTAGTTCTTCCAGTGGTTGGGAGCCTTCGGCGGACACCTTATAACCGAGGAAGGTGATCTCAGGTACTCAGAAGACGCACTTCGCCGGGTTGATGAGGATACCATACTTCTGCAGTCAGTCGAAGAGTGCCCGTAGGTGTTGCTTGTGTTCCTCTAGAGACCGGGAGAAGATGATTTCATCCAGGTAAGCGAAACAGAAGTCGAGTCCCCACAGAATGTCGTCCATGAAGCATTGGAAGGTCTGTGCAGCGTTGCACAGGCCGTTGAACTTTCCCCTCGTGATGACACTCATTAGAAATCGAGGATATGTATATGGAGATGGTCTTACGGTACCTTGGCCCTGTTCTTGGACTTTACCCAGGGGGTGGTAAAATGTTATTCAAAGTTGGTCACATACTATTTTAAAGGTTTGCCCTCAGGCTGGGAAACTAAGTAAATTTGGAAACATGTGTAAATACATCCGTATAGAGGTCAAGTTACCCTATTTCCTTTGTGTACAATCTATGTCACAAGTTATAACTTAATATTCAAATTTTACCATATTTCCTATTATATGTTAACTAATTATAGCCTCCATATACAACACCTCCCACCTTTAATTAGGTCCAATTTATACATTAATTGAGCCTAGAAATTAAAAGTACGATTTAGTTGTACGGGACCTAAGTGACCTACATGACCTTGAGCCTTTTTCGATTGAATGCTGAGAGCCCTGCAATGGGATGTCTCCCTGTTCTATTGATAAGCTCTCATTACTTGTTTTAATGTTTATGTTAACCGTGTTTCCACACCCTTCAGGTATAGCCATGGGTTGCGTTTCTTCACATGTAGCTGTAATGGCTTTCGGTTTCTTAGCAAAGCAATCTCTTAGGTACCTGTACAAATTATACAATCTGTATAGCATGTATATTCCGAGTATACTTACTCATGGAGCTGAGCCCTTCTGGAGGAGCCGCCAATTCTGCAGCTACTCAAGAATTTCCCAGCATTTTATGGAACCCGAAGGTTGATTACCGTGTTCATAAGAGCCCTCCACTGGTCCCTATCCTGAGCCAGATCTATCCAATCCATACCATCCTATCCTATCTCTCTAAGAGTCATTCTAATATTGTCCACCCACCTACGCCCTGGTCTTCCCTGTGGTCTCTTTCCTTCTGGCTTTCCCACCAATATCCTATACGCATTCCTCGTCTCCCCCATTCATGCTACATGACCTGCCCACCTCATCCTCCTTGACTTGATCAATCTAATATTAGGTGGGTCCCTGTCACCATAGCATGGCGCGTCCTCAGGTTGTGGATGGAGGAGACGCCCTTCAGTTTTGGAGGGAAACTGTGAATATATTGAACAAGCAGTCGCAGACAGCCAACAAAGGGTGGCCCTCCAGCTTGGGGGTTGGGCGTGGGGCTAACAACTCCTCACCGTAAAAAATCATTATGTTACGAAAATGAACACAAAGCCTCGGACCTGGACTAATTCCTTGGATATTCTGAGTATAGTCAATAAAACGTATACTATTGCTGAATATGTGGAGTGTTTAAGTTTTTGGTGGTTCCTCCACTCTTGTTCATTTATTTCCTTTTCTAGTTTAGATATCTTATAACTAGCACGTTTAAGATCATCTATATGGGAAACAACATGTTTGAAATGCAACTTAATGTTTGAATGGAATTCTAGTCCTTCTAAACAATGACTGTCTATTGGAATTCGGGAGAGTAAGTCTTCTCCTTTTATACCTTTTGCTTTTACCTTAACCTTTGCCTGTAAGAATGCAAATGAGGTATAGCCTTTGCATCCTGTGTATAGTGACAGTTTACCTACGCCTGTAAGTGTAATGTCTCTTGGACCATGATCTGTACATATTATGGTCACACTTTCAGGGACAGGCATCAAGTATATCCATGCATTATTGTCAAGTTGTGTCCACATCGTTTTTCTAAATTGAACTATCCTCGTATCACAATTTTTGGGAATTTCCTTCTGTTTTTGTAGTAACTTAATGACACAAGTTTCTTGCAACTGACTTGACAATAATGGACGGTCTTGCTTGCATATCCTTGACTGGGAATCTATTATTTTACAGTCTTTTAATTTTGCATTACTAATCTCAAAGTAGAACAGTCTTGTCTGATCTACACACAAATTTGCTTCACCAGTCTCAATATATGCAAATTTATTATTACCTAAAGGTATCGGCACAGGTATCATTTTATACACTTGAAATATTCCTCTACCAATTAAGGGTAAGGTGATCACATAACCCAGTATTCCTTCATTCATATATACATGGATATCACAAACTTTGTACAATAGGTTAATTGAATCCTTGATGAATGGGAAAGGCGGAATGGTATCCTTGGGAAAGGATGACATACTCTGAATGACTGAATCCATAACTAATTGTGGAGATACAATTTGTGGCGATAATATTCCTTGTCTAGCTTGCATGATACTCTCAAGTAGAACGTCTAAATAACGTTGCAATGTGTCAATTGCCTCTCTAGCTCTGGCAATATGGCTCTCTACCGTAATTTTTACTGCTAATGTGTTAATTTTTTCGTGTTCATCTGCTGTGACTGATTCTAAAAATTTCTTGATTTGTACTAGTCCATCCTTTACCTTTTCCTGATTATATTCCATATCTTTTAATGTGTTGTTCATGATTCCTAACGTGGACCTTACTATGACTAATTGCTGTTTTAGTAACTTCGTCATATCGTCGGAGTTTTCCTCGAAATGTTTAATTTGCTCGTTGTAATATGTTGCATCTTTGTTATCTAAAGTGCCAAATAGCACTTTACTAATTTCTCCGATTAACTGAAAATGCCTCGTTGTCTGCGAGTGTTTCTGAGTCTGTGATTGGCCACATCTATTATCAAATTTTCAGTTCTTTTAACTTGTAATTTTTCTCTCGAAATTTCCGGAAAGTGGTAACAGTCAGTCCAGTTTTGAATTGCTATATCTTGGCATAACTTGTTTATGTGTTTAAGATACTGAGCAATCTCGTTGGACTGGCTGTCTATCCCCTTCAGGTTAGTATGTACTACTACTTGCCATTAAGTGTTATATAAATTTAGTTGTCCCTTATTCTCATAATATATTCCTGTTGATTGATCATATTTTTCCACTAGATATCCCTGTTCCTCTAAGGCGGGTTGTAATCCTTGGATCGTTCCCATCCATAGGAGTATGATCACCTCTCGTATCATTTTCTGAAACAAATTTAAATTAATAAAAAGGTTTTACTCTATTTATATGTACTTTATGCCCTTTCTTTATCGTAACGTTTACCTTGTCTATTCCTAGTATTTCATAAGGACCAATCCACTGGCTGCTCAGTTTCCAGGATCTTCCTCGTTTTACGGTTTCATTAAATAAGAGTATTCTGTCTCCTACATTTAATTGAACCTTTTCTGCCTTTTGATCATAGTACCATTTACTTTTGTGTTTTGCATCTAATAATTTCTCTCTTGCCAACTTGTGCGTGGTCTGTAGCCTGCTCCTTAATTCTAACACATAGTCGTCATAATTGTTTTGTGGGCTGGGTGGTTCATGCAAGGTCGAGGGCAAGGTTGACCTAAAACCGTACACCAACTCGAATGGCATATACCCCGTGACAGTATGTACAGTCGTATTGTACATGTACATAGTGTATGGCACCCATTCATCCCAATTTCTTTGGTCTTCATTTATGTAGTGTCGTAAGTACTCTGCTAGAACCCGGTGACTGCGTTCTAGACTTATGTTAGATTCTGGCCTAAACGCAGTAGTTTGGAGTTTCTTAATTCTTAGCAACTTATACACATTTTTAAAGACATCACTCAGGAAGTTTGCTCCCTGATCGGTTAGTATTTGTTTTGGCATACCCATCTTCAATATGATATTTACCATGAATTCCCTAGCTATTGTCTCTGCATTCTGTCATGGGATTGGGATCATGGTTACTAGTTTGCTAAGGTCGTCTTGAAATGTGAGTATGTACTTGTTCCCTTTTTCCGTTTCCAGCAAGGGTCCTACAATGACCAAACAGCACTTATCAAACGGATGATCGGTGGTGGTTGTGATTTCCATTGGTGCTCTTTTCTTGGGAACTAACAGTTTATTAATCTGGCAGCTCTTACATTTTTTTATATAGTCCTCAACTTCCTGCCTCATGTTAGACCAATGAAATTTTGCCTTTATCGCCTTGAATGTTTTATTCATTCCCCTACGACCTCCTATTGGTGCGTCATGATACTCAAAAAGTATTTGTTTCTTTTGTTCTTCCCCTGTGATTTCTATGGGATTCTGAGTGTCTATACTGCTCCATGCATTGATTCTGCTTAAGGCATCCGCATTTGTATTTAATAATCCCTTCTTGTACACGATTTCATAATCGCATTCCTCTAACTTAATCCTCCATTTGAATAACCTGGATCCAGGATCCTTGATGTTCATAAGCCATTTTAGTGGTTTATGATCACTGGCGATCTTGAATTTTTGCCCATACAAATAAGGTCTGAAGTGTTTTATTCCCCATACTATAGCCAGTAACTTCTTTTCGCTTGTACTGTAGTTCTTTTCAGCTTTGTTTAAATTCCTACTAGCATAAGCTATTGGCAGGTCTTTGCCAATCTCTCCTTCTGATGGTATTGCACCTAGGCCTTGATTGCTTGCATCTGTTGTGAGGATAAACTCCTTGGAAAAATCCGGATATTGCAAAATAGGTTGCATTGTTAATTTTGATTTTAAACTCGCAAAGGCATTCTCTTGTTCTACCATCCACTCAAATTTTGCGTTCTTCTTAAACAAAGCATGCAACGGTGCTCCTATCTTGCTAAATCTAGGAATGAACCTCCGATAGTAACCTATCATTCCTAAGAAACTCTTCAACTGTCTTTCAGCTTCAGGTCAGGGGAAGTTTTCAATTACTTCTACTTTGCTTGGATCAGGTTTACACCCCTCTTCAGTAATTACGTGTCCTAAGTAATTAACTTCTTTTCTTAAAAACTCACATTTATCTGGTTGGAGCTTTATATTGTATTTCCGGAGCCGGGAAAATACCTCCCGTAACTTTGTGTCATGTTCTACCAGGGACCTAGCGTAGATTACTACACCGTCAAGAAATACAAAGCATCGTGACGGAATTAGGCCACTCAACACGGAACTCATCGACTGGAAAGTAGCGGGTGCTGTCTTTAGCCCGAACGCCATTCTTGTATAGGCCCAATGCCCCTGTTTAGTGCTGAAAGCCATCTTGTCCCTATCTTCCGGACTCAACTCTACCTGATGGTAACCCATCACCATGTCAATGCATGAAAAGTAGACTGGCCCAGCTGGTCCAAAATTTCCGTTATGTCAGGGAGAGGTTAGGCGTTTCCGATTGTCTTTTCATTCAGTCTTTGGAAATCAACAACTATCTGCCATTTTCTCTCTCCACTGGCGTCTACCTTTTTTGGTACTACTAATAGTGGGCTATTCCAAGGTGAGCTACTCTCTTCTATGATTCCTTTGTCTAACAGTCTCTCTACTTGTTTTTCAATCTCCGCTTTTTGTGCTTCAGGAAGTCTATATGGTCTAGTGTTTATGGGGGCAGTTCCTGGTACTACTGTTATTGAATGCCTTGTTGCATTTGTGGCGGTTAATTTCTCCCTGGGCAAATGGAAAATATTCTAAAATTCTAGGCAAGTATTCTCTAATACTTCCTTCTCCTCGTTATTTAGGTGTTCTAACCTAAGTTTATCTAGTACTTCCCTTCCTCTATTCCTATTTTCCTGATTTATGCCCTCCTTATCTCGGGTCATGGTTTCGATCTTTGCTAACCTCAGCTGTGGTTCTGGTATTTCAACCTCTCTATCATTCGTATTTAATACACTAGTTAATGCATACCCATTCTTAACTGTAATCAGGGAGCTGGCTACGTAAATTCCTGTGTCTAATTCTTGTCTCTCAATCAGGTCTCCTTCTGGCCGTTTTCGCATTCTACTGGCATCTGTACTATCATTTCCGACCTTTTTTTAAGGGTGATGGTTCTTACTCTCTCATTTCTATTTTCCGTTTCCTTGTAGGATATTAGTGGCTTTTCTAATCTGCTATTCTGCCACTTAAAATTAACCCTTTTTTGTTCATAGCATATTTGTGCTCTTGCTTTTAAGAGGAAGTCCTTCCCTAATATGTCATCTCCTTCTATATCCAGTTGTTTATTTACGAACTGCAGACTTATTGGGATCCTCAAACTTCCTTCTTTCACTTTGGCTTCTATCAGCCCATGTGTTTCTACTACCATTCCGTCTACTGATTTGAGTTTGCTGGGGGTCGTACCTGGTGCTTCCTATCAACTTCTGGCTCTTCACTACTGATATCTCTGCCTGCTGTCTAGCAAGAATAATAACCCCTTTTCCTTGCTGATATCCAGCTTCAACTCAAAAAAATCCCATTTGGTAGTGTTAATGCAGCCTAATGTACATTGCTGACTGTCGGTTGGCTGCCTGCTGACAGTCTGTTCCCGTTTCCCGAATGCTCCTGACCTGTATTTCTGTTACTAAATTTCTGTCTTGTCATGCTACAATTCCTTGCATAGGGGCCCCTTTTATTACAATTGTAACATATTATTTCTAAACGCCTATTTATTCTTTCTACACCGACCTGGTTCCCTCTAGACTGATTATTGTGAAGGGGCCCTATTTTCATGGTTTTCTTCAGGAAACATGTTTGGGTGCTATGTCCTACTTTTCCACAGTTGCCACATCTTGTCTGGGCTCCTATCTCTCCCTTATAACGTTCTCTTGCTTGGACACTATCGCACTTTCTTCCTCAAAGGCCGTTTCCGCGATATCATCGAAACTTTCATTATTTTGGCTCCTTACAATCGTCTGTATCCTGTCTCAAGACAAACCTTGAATAAAGCAAATGTTCCGTAATTTGTCTGCTAACGTTAGAATGCCTGCCCGTTCCTCTTCCGTGCAATTTTGGAGTGCTGACTCTCGAAATTTTGATCCTAACATTTGGATCTTATGAATCCATTCGGATATGTTTTCAGATTTGTTCTGTGTGGCCTTGAATAGTTGGTTAGCGTGAATGTCTAACATTCTCTTTTCAATATACCGGGTGTTCCTAAAAGAATGGTGGGGTTTCATTGCCGTATATCTCCGTCAGTTTTTGGTGACGAAAAGCAAAACATATATGGACTCATAACGCGGCTCTCAAATTTTCATTTTGTATATTGCGCTCTTTCCTAGTTCCATTTCCGACAGTTAGGAGGCGTGAAATGTAAGATGGCGGCCCAGCAGGAAAAGGTCTATTGCGTGCTGAGATTTGAGGTGTCTAAATCCATCGTTACAGTGCGCCATGAATTTCGTGTACATTTTCAGAAGGAGGCGCCACATGAAAACAACATTTGCAGATGGTACTGGCAGTTTGTGGACAGTGGATATCTCTGTAAAGGCAAGAGTTCTGGGCGGCCACGTGTGCCACATGCAGACGTGGAAAGAGTGGGGGAGACGTATCAGAGAAGCCCAAGAAAATCATTACGCAGAGGAAGCAGAGAACTGCTTGTGGGGGTATATGAAGGACATGGTTTATGTACCCCCATTGCCCCAATCGCTCCAGGATCTCTGAAACAAAATCAATCGTGCTGTGGAGACCATCACACCTGAAAGGCTGCAGTGGGTGTGGCAGGAATTCGACTATTGCATTGATGTGTGCCGGGTAACGAAAGGTGCGCACATAGAGGCACTTTTATGGATGTACATAAAATTTGGACAGTTAAGCTTCCGATTGACACATGTTATGATTATACATGGTAAGAAATACGAAATATATACGTATCTAAAACCCCACCATTCTTTTAGGAACAACCTGTACATATTCCTGGGGAATTCTTTCAACTTGTCCCAATTTTCCAAATTTCTATGTGAAATAGCTGTTCTAGGTTCACCGCTAATCTTGGTAAGTATGAACTGGTACAATCTATTATTGTCCTCTGGACATACACAATTAAACACCATGTCTACATCAGACACAAATGTTAAAATTTCTTTCCTATTGCCATTAAAAGGTGAAACTAACTTAAGAGCTTCTGTCCCATTAATATATTCCGTGGTCATCATGTCTGCCTCTGGCATCTCCGGATATGGATTTTTATGGAAAATATATTTGAGCAAGGACTCACCACTTTTTGCCTTCTATCTTCCTTCTTGAGTGCTGCTGTTGCGCTCCTCTCGCCTGTGAGATTGCCCTGGCCGCTGGCTGATGTAGGTGAGTTTCTGCAACCTCAGTCGATTGCTTGCTGTAGTTGCCTTCTCTGGTGTTTTTCTCCTTCACTGAAAACTTTTAGGTCTAATTAATTTGCTACCCCTTGCAAATTAAAGTTTTCTTTTGGCACCCATCGGTGACCTGTTGGTCTGATAAATTTACTTCTGTCGTCGACTATCTGCTATCTGCAGTTGCTTATCAATAGCTTTATGCGATCTTTCTTGGTCGCTTTCACAAACAAATAGAATCTGTTCTACTTTACCAATTTTCCTTGGCTGTTGCTTCCTGGGAGGACTGTCTCGCTTAGAGACCGACCTAGCGGCCTCCGTAGTCTAGAGGTAACGTTCCCACCTCATGACTTGTGGTACGCGGGTTCAAATGCCTGGCGGAGGTCGTCGAATTTTTAAGGGCGGAAAAATTCAGGGAACAAGTCCTCCGGGAGGGACTTTAAGCTGTGTGTCTTATGTCATAACTTTACGGCATGTAAAAGAACCCCATATCTCCAAAGGAGCCAAATTCCAGGACGTTTCCCGCCCAACAACAGTCTCTGAGGCCTCTGATAGATGGGGGAAGCATTATGGACACCGCCAAGCAAGTGGAGGTCGAACTCGCTTGCTTGGCAGGACTGATGGTACACACCATTGTCGGTAGGGTATAGCGACTGGTAGAATATCATAGAGGGAAGCACAATGGACCAATACTGGTCTAAGTGCATGGGGAAATCCACCCTCTCCAATAACTAACTAACTAACTAGAGACCGACCTGATCTCGTTTGTTTCGTAGCTTCTCCTTGTGGTCTTCCACCCCTCGTTCCATGTCTTGGATGTTGATGCTGCGAAATTTGCCGACCTTGATGTATACCTGTCGTGAAGACCTCTGCGTACACCCCACACCTGACACCAGTTGTCGCATCCCAGCTTGTGGAAAACGGATTGATGGGCCGAGCGGGAGCCGTGTGTTCCGTTGACTTCGATGGTTGGAGGACAATTAACAGGAGAGTTAGCTTAAAACAAACTGTTTATTACACATATACATATGTATAAACTGAGAAACAGGTAAGTGCCTTAGGCCAATGGCGGCGGCCAAGTCTTTTAAACAACAAAGAGTCCCCGACTCTTAGTGACTGGTCAGAAGACTGTCGTCAGCTAATTTCCTTGGGTTTATATATTGTAAAGTGTCTTGGTTACTGAAGACGCCGTTCGGATTGTTAATTGGTTTATTTAACAACCTACCAGTCTCGGCTACAATTAATTATAACACAGTTGGGGGGTTTCACACTTTATAACCCTATTCGCAATAATCAATTCACTCTGTCCTCAGTAGTCTACAGGTATTCACAGTACGGGAGCTATTTAAGTGTCCCTGTATCACACACTCACAATTACACACACATCCGGTTCTTCTTTCTGCGACGGCTGCTATATTCCAACTCAATTCGTAGGTTGCTGCCTTGAGAACTCGTTCACTGCTGACTTGAGAACTCACTTTGGCAGCTGATACTTTTAACTTGTTCACTGCTGACTGGATAACTGTCTTTGGCGACTGATGCCCTTAACTCACTTCGGCGGCTGTGTAGTTCCCTTATATAGTCACAGCACCCGCCTGTTACCCAATGGGTACTGCTGTTGCCTGTTACCTGTGTCACAGCTGCGTTGCGTGTTACGTCACCGCGGGGAGTAACGACAGCGCTACGATGCCGCCACGTACCGCGGGGGGGGGGGTCCTCCATTGCGCAACATGTCACACTGCTCCCTCCTTAAGGCTGTTCATCCCGAATAGCCTAACGGTGCATCCTGTTCCTTTCCTTTGGAGGCTGTTCTTGCAGCATCTTCTTGTTGTTTCTGCTACTCCTTGCAGCGGCTCTTCTCCGGCCGTTACAATATGTTTTCTTAGGGGTGGTTTCTCTAGGAATCTCCCATTGAACTTTCCCCTCGTGACAACACTCATTAGAAATCGAGGATATGTATATGGAGATGGTCTTACGGTACCTTGGCCCTGTTCTTGGACTTTAGCCAGGGGTGGTAAAATGCTATTCAAAGTTGGTCACGTATGGTTTTAAATGTTTGCCCTCAGGCTAGGAAGCTAAGTAAATTTGGAAACATGTAAATACATCCGTATAGATGTCAAGTTACCATATTTCCTTTGTGTACAATCTATGTCACAAGTTATAACTTAATATTCACATTTTACAATATTTCCTACTATATGTTAACTAATTATAGCCTCCATATAAAACAATGTTTTAATTGTTGAATAACTTAAACAGTCCTCAACAAGGAGTTTCATGAACTGAACTCTATAGGTTAGGCTCAGAATACTGTCAAAAGTATCAACTGAAACTGATGAGACTGACATACCACGAGTTCAGAAGCCAAGCCATATCAGTAGCCCTAAAGGTGAACAGCTGTTTGGTGCAGATGCAAGTTGGCAAAGGTGGAAATATATTACAGTGTGCTTACTGTTTATTGTTATTAAATAACTCCACAAATCCTGTACAGGGGCTTTAGCACCCATATGATATAGAGGTAGTCAAACTTATACAATCTCATACAAAACATAAAAAGATACATGGTGTAACATTAAATCAAGCTATATCACAACAACATAGATTCATACACAGTTAGAAATACAACCTTTTACTTCTTACTAGTCCAAGTTCATTCGTCACAATCATTAATCATAAAACAATATCACATAATACTAAGTAATAAACATAATTAAAATTAAAAACTATAACATACAGTTAATCCCATTTACATCCAATCAGTATTTACAAATTATTTTGATTAAAAAACTCCTCTAATGAATAAAATGACCACGAGCAAAGATATCTCTTTAATGCTGGTTTAAACAATTCAATTCCATCAAATTATCCATAACCATAACCACCCAGGATATATATCATTCGAATCATAATTTTATTATCTTTGTATACTATTATATCATTGTGTTATATATTGTATTATTATTATTATTATTATTATTATTATTATTATTATTATTACTTATTGTATTGTAAAGTATTTGACTTGTCCTATATCATGTACAATGATCCATGGATATGATATGAAATAAATAAATAAATAAGATAATGATTTTATATTTATAGGAAGATGGTTAAATATCCTCATTCCAATAGCACATTTCCCTTCATTATATATTGTTAATCTAGCACATGGAAAATGAAGGTCAGTATTGTGCCTAGTATTTAGACCATGAATTTCTTGATTAGTTTTATAAAGATGCTTATTTCTCACAACAAATATCATCAAAGAAAATATATATTGAGAATAAAATGGTAAAATTTCCCAATCTTTAAAAAGTTGTCTACAAGAGTCTCTACATCTAGTCTTAGTCATAATACAGAGTATTCGTTTTTGCATCTTAAAAACACTAAGACTCTGTAGTGAATTACCCCATAATAAAATACCATAAGATAATAATGAATGAACATATGCAAAATATATGTGCTTTGCTATGAATGAAGTTTGAATTTATATTCATCCCATATTTGTTTTTCTCTCTATGTAAATGAGTTCTGCACTCAAACAGCCATCAGATTGGTGCAATATACCAATGTTCCTAGTTGGGCTGGACAACTGAACAATTGTTCCAGGATACCAATAGCATTACAGCAGAGGAAATGAAACTGTCATATTTCCTTTCATGTCACACATGCAGATGTACACAGTGTTAACAGAAGACACAAACACTGTCTTCATAAACCAACTGCTAACCTCTCATGCTTTCAGAAAAGTGCATATTATGCTGGGATCAAAATTTTTAATAACCTGCCATCTGATATCAAAGGTCTTATGAATGAAAAGGCACGATTTAAAATAGCACTGAAATGATACTTAAATACACATTCATTCAACTCTGTTGATGAATACCTACTGTCTAAAAAATAACTTATGTACCTTCAAATAGCCTTGTGTGAAGTCACTGTGTATCCTTTGTTTCTCTTGTGTGAGAACTCCATTGGGACTGTATATATGTTTTGTATTTATATGACATATTCAACATCCTACGGTCATTTTGACTAACTTTGAATCCATGGAATGCAATGCAATGTAATGTACTCTGCACAGTCTTCGACCACTTGATAATGCCTTGTGGGGTCCACTGAAAACTGCATTAAAAAAAGAATGTGGTAACTTCATAATATGCCACACACACCTTCTCTTCAAGCCTCTCTTTTCTTTAATGAAGCTTATAAGTATGCAAATCATGGAATAGGTAATACCTGGATTAAAAACATTTGGAATTTTCCTGTTAAATGTTAAACTGTTTTTTGAGGCTGACGTTCTTCCTACTGCCCATTTTATAACTGTGGTCTTTCATAAGGAAGTCCAGAACCAAAAAAATGTCCCTAACAAATTTCATATCAATGGTGATGTAGCAGGACTATCAAACACTGACCATATATCATGAACATTGGATATGTATATGTATATCTGTATCATTAACATCGTCCTACATAATGCCAAGCCTATTCTCACCTGCTACGGGTATTACGGAAACACGGCCCTTCCATCATTTCACATGTCTTCCAGGAATTTTTCATCTTGAATCATGTTTTAATTTATTTTTGTAATCCTGTCAGAGTTCTTCCTGCACATGTCTTTTACGGTTTATTTTGTATTCTAAAAATTCTGTTACTTGTGAAATTATTCTCTCATAATTTCATTTCCTTCACTAACCGAAAGGCCGTACCGAACAATTCTCCTGAATACAGGTTTTTCTGGCTATCTCGTATTGACACTAACACAGACAACACACCTACACAAGTTCTGTGACGCACTATCAGACCCGATCAGAACATGACCAAACATGGTTGTTTACCGTTGTTTACTACAGCACATGAGTCATAACAATAATTTTATTTCAAAATATTGTTATAACCCACCACTCGCAGCCGTCGCAGCCTTCTGTGGCATTGTGAGAACTGCCACGTGTTGATCCTGTTGATGTTCGTTTGTTTCATATTTCTTCGTGACTTCGTGACCGTTCGTGACCGTCCGTGACTACTAGTGCCATCTGTTAGAAAGTGATATGCTCTTTGTCTCGTTGGTTTCGGTCGTCTCGGTTTTGCCAAATAAGGGAAGGAGCTGGTGCAGTAAGGCTAGAGAAAAGTGGGCGTTGGAGAATTAGAATTTTATATAACCAAGAAACGGGACATATAATGTCATATTCTAATAGTAAGTACGAGAAGTTAATATAATGTGAAATATTTTATGATTAATGTATACATTTATATGATCTGTTGAGCCGGCATGGGAACCCGATGTCAGCAGTTATTCAATGCTAATTAAGTAAATTGCCACTTGGTAAAATATTGAGATGTAAACTAGGCACTTTCTACAGAAAATGGTAATTGTGGCGATATAAAGTTCACAGGATGTTCATGCACTTTAATAAGGGTTCAAGAGGATCTGTACTCAAAACATGTTTTTCTTTTCCAGAATATATTTTCACAGCTTTACCCAGAACTCAGAGAGGACAGCCAATTGTACTGGGAGGAGATCCAAAGGGGAAGAATTTCTTGTATACAAACGGAAATAGTGTCATTATAAGAAATATTGAGGTATGAAGCCACTAGAGTGTGAAAGTTTTGCACTGGAACCAAGCACAGAGATAAGCACAGGGACAACTTTGCTTTTTCCTTGCCATGTACAGAAATCATGTTTTAACAGATTAGTAGTTAGCGCACAGATATCTTAGTACAGACTGTTTCATTTCAGAATCCTGCTATATCTGATGTTTACACCGAACACTCCTGTGCTGCCATTGTAGCCAAGTATTCACCAAGTGGATTTTACATTGCATCTGGAGGTACAGTAGCACATAGCACATTATTTGATACTAGAGGAAGTAATAGATTTCTTTCACTACAATTTCATTATCCTTGTTACATTACAGTGTGATATTATCAAAAATGTACTGGCAAAATGTATGTGGTCAGATCACACATACATACTGTGAAAGAAATATGTCACATAACAACGCTTTTATTTTTACAATATATTGTGTGTAGAGCCATTGCTATGCAATGACTGTGAGATGGGCAGATATACCAGGGCCATTTCTGGGCTATGGCTTGGTAAGCAGATTCCCAGTGCTAGGCAGCAGTTTCATAATAATACAGCAGTGGAAGAGCTGTGTTTTCCATGTGGTTCATGTTGAGGGGTTATAAGCAAGATGAGGTTTGGAGCTTAGTTGATAGTTCTGTACAGGAGTCTATAAAGAGAGGACTTGAGCACATGAAGCTGAAGAATCTCCACTGTACAGAAACCATTGCCGGGGAACAGCTGGCGAAGACACAGCAGACTGATAAAGACTTAGTGGGTGCTGTGGTGTTTTGTGAATTATGGAGATTGGTAGTGGTGCTCTAATTACTCATAGTTCTGGGTCGTGTGTATAAGTGGTCAGTAAATCAAGATAATATCCAATCCAAACCACGTCTATAGTCACCCCTACATGTGACAATATAATGTAAAAGAATTGCTTCTTACCTGGAAAGAAAGATGCCAGTATTCAGAATTGTTAATTTTGGAAGTAATGCATTGTTTGAGACTAAAATTAACACAGTAGAATAACTGTTTATGGTATGATAATTTTTGCAAGGTTTATTTAACTTTCTTTGTTTCATTTATATTTGAAAGGTGCCTATGCAATGCATCCTGTACTGCCAGAAAAGACACCATGCACAGATGTATAATGGATTTTTTTTAACCCTAGTAAAATCCAGATTAGCCTTTGACAATCAAAGGATTTTGTTTTTTCTTCATAATATTTTTTTATGCAATGAACCTGTGACACTTCTAAAATTAATGTGTATGAAGCAATGCAGCTTGGTAGTGTCATGAAGGAAACAGCAGAAGCCTATTGCTGTTTAGAGTGAACCACAAACGTAATAGACCTTCTGGATATCGGTTATTTCTTGCCAAACGTAGAACATTTGTTCCTCATACTAGTCTCTGTATATCGTCAGATATACATAAAACATATCCAGTTCACAATCATGAAAAAGTGAAAAAATCCAGTTATCACTAGGATTGCAATTGTTTAACCTTTATCGGACGAATGTCATCATATGATGTTGTTAAAAGTTAGGGCAGCTGGCCGAACGTCGTCATATGATGTCGCGGATTCCACGCGTGTAAGGTTTTTTTAATATTATATTAAAAATATAAATTGTTGTTCTATTTACATGATTTTTGGTCACCACCTTTATAAGGAGACAGCCTTCCTTCCTGCATGATCTAATGTAATCTAGCGACGTCATATGACGTTAAAAGTAAGGACAAATTGAAGAACGACATCATATGATGTCGCGCATTCCACGCGTGTAAAGATTTTTTTAAAATTAAATTTAAAATATAAATTGTTCTTCTATTTACATAATTTTTGGTCACAACCTTTATAAGGTGACAGCCTTCCCTCCTGCGTGATCTAATGTAATCTACCGACGTCATATGGCCGAACGACCTCATATGATTTCGCGCATTGCACGCGTGTAAAGATTTTTTTAAAATTAAATTTAAAATTAAATTTTTGCTCTACTTACGTGATATATGTTCACCATCTTCATGAGGAAACAGCCTACCCTCCTGCGTCATCTATGGTAATGTGGCCTTCGTATGGTACTGCCGAAAACATTCCGAAATGCAGAGTCCGACGTCGCAGCTCACGCACTTCGTACGAATGCTAGACCGCTTCCCACGCGAAAAGCACACACGACACCTCAGTTGCGATTTAGAGGAAGCAGGCCAGTGATGTTGAGCTGCAGTGATATTTATCCCCGCAGCTACACCGGCATAATTATTCACACCTCTCCAGCCACACTGGTCTGGTGGTCCCCAAGTTGCCGACGAAGGTGATGACCCTCCATCCGCGGAATCAGAACTCCAACTTTGCTCGCCCCTCTCAGAATCGGTTCAATAGCAGTCCGAATCTGTGTCTTTGAACAGCTGTTTCTCAATTTCAGCATCAGAACTCCAACTTTCCTCGCCACATTCAGAATCGGTTGAATAGCAGTCCGAATCTGTCATTGAACAGCTGTTTCTCAATTTCAGCATCTTCCATATGACGTCGTCGTGTATACGGCTCTCTAGCAGTGAATCTCTGTGCTTAGACCACAATAAGAAGCTATAAATCTTAACCTTGAGCCCACACATACAAAAATCTCATTCACGACTTGGCTGAACCCAATATCTACTTCATGATGTCATGGGTGGCTAAACTTATATTGTGATGTTTCAAAATCGTTACAAACACAATGGTTTGACTGCAATGAATGAACGAATGACCGATCTGGCGACACCATATTCCGAGAATTAACTCCCGTATCTTTCTAAAACATTACACAGCGAATGATATCAGACACATACAGTCATGCATACCGAAATGTCCCATACGATAAATAAGCGTCAACAAGAGACATCATTGAATGTGAAGTCGCTACAAGGACTTACACTGCTAAAACGCATGGTGCAGAAAATGTATGAATTTCGGGAATTTTTTTGGGGGGGGGGAATCAGTGTAAAAATTTTTTACAGATATTAAAATCTGTAAATTAGAATATCTGATTCTATATTCTTCCTACATTAAAGGAGCGTTCATTTCGTTCATTTATCATAAAAAATGTAGAAATCACACCATTTTTAGAAACATGCTTACAATTTCATTGCTCTAGAAGGGCGGGCATTTAAATAAACTCCGTCCAGCTGCCCCTACCGGAAATTAAATGGCCCGTCCGATAAAGGTTAATAGGATATAGATTTGTTTATTTCAAATTAATGAAGAAAATGTTATATATTACTGACTAGATAGAAATGTGCATTCAATCTGATGTTAGTGCAGCTCTCAGCTATGCTGATGAGTAGTGTTCAGGCTATTACATTATAGTCTAAAAATGACATAGATTAAGTATGATTATTATTGTATGCAGGTAAAAAACTTTAACTTTATTGTTGCTGTTGTTGTTGTTGTTTCTTCTTCTCTGACTTATACTTTTTCTCCTCTGACTTATACTTTTTCTCCTTCTCTTCTCTTCTTTCTCACTGTACAACCTAATTTGGGTGTTGGTCTCCTGTACCAATATTTTCCAGAATCTCAACTCCAACAGGTTGGGCTTACAACTTGCTGATCTCAAACTATAGACTTTCTACAAGGAATACCAAAACCAGAATCTTACCCCAAAACTACCACAACCCCAATATAGTCCTGTATGATAAATGAACTGAATAACTAATAGTTTTGTGTGTGGTCATTTCAGATCAGGCTGGGAAAGTACGAATTTGGGATACTGTAAATAAGGAGCACTTATTGAAGAATGAATTCCAACCAATTGGTGGCCCAGTTAAGGATATTTCATGGTCACCTGACAGCCAGAGAATGGTGGTTGTTGGAGAAGGAAGGGAAAGGTAGTTCACTGTGTATATATATTAAATCAGGCATGCTCATTTTGTTGGCATATAGAACATTAGGTATTCAACCCATAACCTGTGCTTGGCTGGTGAGATGTATGCAAGCAGGAGCAGGAGAAATAGCAGTATTAAGGCAGTGATGGTGAATGCTGGCTGAAGAGAGCAACATTTGGGCAGTGGCATGTTACAAGCAGCACGTGGTCACAAAGACTTTATCATTATTGAGACATTGCTGATGGACATACATGACAAGTACAGTAGAATTTGGTTATAACGTCATCAAAGGGACCTAAAAATAGTGTCGTTACAAACGAATGTCGTTGTAACCGAAATGGGCATTTCCACAGTAGCCGTATGTTAGTCACGTAAAAATCTACCAAAAACCGAGTTAAAATGTTGCATTTTTTAGTGAAATACGTAGTTAAGTACAGACTAACGTAACATTAACGTGGAATTGCCCAAATGTGTAATATCAAAGACATATTACAGTGCTTTTCACTGACAATACACACCGCACTAATACTGTATATTAAAGGTAGGCCTACTCACCAAATTACAGTAGATTACATCAATTGTTGTGCCTTACTGTACCTAGATACGAGTACAGTAATCAGTTATCTTCATCTGTTTCCTGTTACTTGCCCAATACACACTTTCTAAATTACGTTCAGTGTCCATAATTTTTTTCACAATTTCACTGGTGCCTCCCATGGATTCATAAAACAAGTTCGCAACCCTAATGGCTTCAAGCGCATCACTCACAGTAGGGATGGAGACTTCGGAACATTCTTCTCCTCCCTCCTCATCTTCCTCCTCTGTATCCTTCTTCACTTCCGATACAATATCGTCGTCTGTTTGTGCCTCCGTTGTAACAATGTCGTCTATTGTTGCATATGCCTCATAGTCATACTGACCTAGTTCATCACAATTGACTTTACGCAACCATTCTGTTAAAGGTAAATCATCGTCATTATTGGTGTCATCCTCATTCTCAGTGCCATTCAATCCCTGAGTTGATAAGATTCCCGCATGCCGGAAGCAGTTCTGAATTGTTTTTGTAGTTACTCGTCTCCATGCTTTTTCAATGAATCGTATTGCGTCCAGCAGTGTAACTGTGTAATCTTGCTTCTTCTCGATGCTCTCTACAATTCTTAACAATATCAGTTTGCGGTAGTGACATTTCAGGTTCCTTATGACTCCCTGATCCATGGGTTGCAATACGCTTGTAGTGTTTGCAGGTATAAACACAAGTTTAATCTTCTCTAGATTTTGAAGTACAGGGTGCGCTGGACAGTTGTCTACAAGCAAGATGATCTTTCTTTTCCTTGTTTGAAGTTCCCGGTCCCAAGACCTGAGTTCAGCTTCGAACAAACTAGAAGTCATCCACGATTTTTTGTTAGCACTGTAGCGCACTGGTAGGTTTTCCACATTTTTAAAACATCTAGGATTTTTTGACTTTCCAATCACAAGCAATTTCCTCTTCTCGCTTCCAGTCACATTAGCACAAACAAGAGCTGTAATCCGCTCTTTCGACAACTTGCCGCCAACACACTTCTCTCCCTTAAATTTCAGTGTCCTGTCAGGTGTCAATCGAAAGAAAATGCCGGTCTCATCGGCATTAAAGACATCCTTGTCTGCATATCCTTTACGTATACTGGGCCACACGGCAGTAAGCCATTCAGGTGTAGTTTCAGTATTTACACCCCTGGCTTCACCACTCACTTTACCGAACGCAATGTTGTGACGCAACTTGAACCTATCAATCCATCCAGCACTACACACGAATTCTTCATCCTTTAACTTTTTTGCGAATTCTTCAGCTTTCACCATAAGAAGAGGGCCACTAACTGGTACGTTATCACTTCTTTGCTGCTTAAACCATTTAAGCAGCGCTTCATCGACATCACTCCATTCAGGCTTATGCAATTGCTTTATTCTCGACCCATTTTGTTCGAATGCATCAATAATTTTTGTTTTATTTCTCCATATCGTTTGTACTGTAGAATTGACCAAACCAAATTCGCGGCATACAGCAGCTTTTTTCCTTCCATTTTCTATTTCACGAATCACTTTAACTTTCTCTTCAATGCTTAAAACTTTCCTTTTCATTGCCATGTTTTCGCTACTGCACTTCTCTGGGTTTAGGCAGGAACACTATAGGGTAAGTAGACA